ATTTTTACTACTACTGTGTTATTACTATTACTATTGTTATGGTCATCATCACCATAAAAGTAATAATTATATTAAATTATTTTTTTTATTATGCTATAGTATTATTGTTATAACTGGTATTATCATTGGCATCAGTATCATTACTAAGACCCTGTTCAGACGAGCGACAATACTGGCGCGACTGCTAGAAGCGCGACTTCCAGGTCAAAAGAAGTGAATAGGAACGCACATACGTAGTGGCTTATGGCTGGCCTGTGGCGAACCTCGAGATCTCCCAGACACTGCTCAGCGACTCGAGGTACAAGTGTGCCTATGCGGCCGAACACGCACAGTGACAGCCACTGCATTTTCATGGTGATGGCACGCCTAATTGGCTGGAGGGGGTGGGATTCGACCAATGAGAGAGCACGTGGAGTGGAGGCAGACAGACAGGCGACAGTAGCATCCGATTCCCCCAGCCAGTCATCCTGATTTGATGGACATTCTCGTGTAATTAATGAACTTGGGTTCATGTCCTCGCAACTGCGGATACAATGTGAAAAACATTCCATGGGTAAGTCTGTCATTTAAGATAGGATGAACCGAATAACGTGTCTCTTCTTACACCGCTGCAAACTGCGATATAAAACCCATGTACATGCCACATCTTCTATATCCATTACCAGCTGTGTATGATCAGCAACTGAAGAGAGAGAAAAAAAATACAATAGTGGGCGAGAGACGAGTCGGGCCACTGCAAGCGACTTGTGTGACCATTCACTCAGTAGTCGCGCTTCTAGCAGTCGGGCCACTAAAGTCACTCTCTGAACAGGGCCGAATACTGCAATTATCATGATTTGCAGTTTTGCGCTAGCACCATCCTTTCATTGCTAGCGTCCTTATCATCATTATGGCTGATTTTTTATTTTATTAGCACNAGAGAGAGAGAGAGAGAAGAGGCAGACATATAGATAGATAAAGGTACATAGCGATAGATAGGTAGAGACTGATAGATAGATAAAGAGAAAGGGGGCGCGAGGGCCCTCGCTGACCTTCCTGGGCACCGCGATGCCGCACAGGGACAGCACCCCGAGCACGATGATGGGCAGCCAGCAGGCGGCGTCGGTGGCCACGATGAGCGTCATCCGCGTGGCCATGGCGCCCTCGCTCGCCCGCGCGTCCGCCCCGTGCACGCCCCCGCCTGTGCTGGGGCGCGCGGCCGAGTGCGTGTCCCGCGCCGCCACGTACATAAGAGCGTAGCTGACGGCGATCACCGTGAACGACAAGGAGTTCAGCACTGCGGAGGGGATGGGAGGTGGGGGTGGGGGGAGAAGACAAACAGTTATGGAATGTGCGTTCACGCGCGCACGCGCAATGATCGCATTCATTACTGTAATTATAATTTTTAACTTGACAATGATAATTGAAAATAATATTCATGATCGTTATTTCCTTTGTTGTGGCTGCAGTCATAACTGTTTTTGTCATGATAATTACGATTTTTTTTTTTATAAAGTAATCATAGCTTAGTATCATCATTATCATTATTTTACTCATGATCATTATTCTCATCATATTCATCACCATTATCCTCCTTATTCTAAACCCCGCATTTCCAGCCTCGCGGCAGGGCGGGCAGCGGCGCGCCTGCGCCTCGGCCGCCCTCACCGAGGAAGATGAACACGGCGTACTCCCAGCCGTCGGGCTTCTCGTTGGTGATGTGCAGGGCGAGGCAGACGCCCGACCGCCCGTAGAAGTTGCCGAAGTAGTCCAGGCGGGAGAGCGGGAGCGCTGCGAGGGCGCCCACGCACACCCACACGCCCGCCATCACCCCGCGCACGACGCTCGGCTCCAGCACGTCGAAGGGGAACTTGATGGTGATGAGGCGGTCGACGGTGATGACTGCGGGCAGAGGGGTGGGGGTAAGGGAGGGGCTGTAGGGTGAGCTCGCTTGCGAGTCTCCTTCCTCATACGCAGGGCGGAGCGCGAGGCACGGCCTCCTCACCTGTCAGAGTGAAGACGGACAGCTCGGAGGAAAAGGTGCTGATGAAGCCGGCGAACTGGCACAGGAACGAGTTCTTCCACACGAGCTCGTAGGCCGAGTAGACGCCGCGGTACTGCACGTCCACCGCCGCCACGATCAGCAGGTACACGCCCATGAGCAGGTCGCCCAACCCAAGGTTTACGATCAGGAACGAGTGCATCTGCGGGCGGCAGAGAGGATTTCTACGCGGGGAATGGCGGTGGAGGGCGGCAGTGATGATGTTACGGTAGCAAGGATGGCGGTGACGAAGACACCACTTGACGAAGGCATTGAGCAACAAAACAACAATAATGACGAAATGATCAGTAAGAACACGGCATCACTAATAATGAAAATAATGTAGGTAATTGTTACGCCACCGATACTTATCATGGCAGACAGATGGCCAGGTAGAGTCCCTACCTTATTCTTGCTGGAGTAAATGCTCCTCCAGAGGATGACGAAGGTGTTGCCGACGAGCGCCACGAAGCCCAGGATCCAGATGCAGACGCGGAGCACCAGGTTGGACATCAGGTCCTCGCACGAGGAGAACTCGTCGGCCGCCGGCAGGCACGTGCGCACGGCCCGCGCCAGGCAGCACCAGCGGAACTCGTCCGTCTCCCTGCCGGAGGAGGGGGCGGCTCTTCAAAGATCAGCAGATTTCGGTTTGCGAAAGAAGAAAAACAGCCATATATATGAGAGGAAACAATAACAGTAAGGAACACACACACATACATATACATACATATCTATATATCTAATTAGCTATCTAACTACCTAGACAGATAGATAGAGAGATAAACAGATAGGTAGATATAAATATATACAGATATAGATAGGTAGATGGATGGATAGACAGGTATAGATATAATGCTTAGTTTCAAATTCCTCATTGCAAAATGCATTTTTCCGCAACATATATCTTTAACCGATGTTAGTAACCAGGGCCTGTTCGGCATACGGGCTCTTTTCCACCAGGTGGTTTTATATTTCAAGCATTTTTCTTTTGTGATTTATTTGGTGTTCCTTTGAGGTCTTAACCAACTGATTGGGAAAGGTTTGCAATGACCACCTTTATGAGGTTTGCTCTCTATTCTCTCTTCCAGTTGCGTCGCTGATTCTTATTTGGATATCGACACTCATTTAGGCCCGTACTTTTAAAGCCTTCGCCAGTGCTGGCGTTCGCCAGGCGAACCTCTGAGTGAGGGAGGCCTTACTTTTAAACCCAACGTTCGCCAGGGCGGGCGAAGGGATCGCCAGGCGCTAACATCTTGCATTCCTGCTAAATCTAGCGCAAATTTGTTTACATCTGCAGTGCACTTAACATAACCTAAACTTAATTGCTAACCTCGAGAGAAGACGAAAATGTTTCCGCAATAGTCTCACTTTATACTATAACAAAGGAGTTAAAATTTAATTTTATGCTTTAAGAAAGAAGTTGAAAATATCTTTATACTATAACAAAATTAACTTTATACTTTATGCTATACTACACTTTATACTATAACAAGGTTAACTTTATGGCCCGTACTTTTAAAACCTTTTGCTTTTTCTCGTGTTTTTTCCATTCGCCGAAGCGCTAGATTTAGCAGGGATCCAAGATGTTAGCGCCTGGCAATCCCTTTCGTTCGCCAGGCCTGGCGAACACCTGCCTTGGTTTTAAAAGTAAGGCCTCCCTCACTCAGATGTTCGCCTGGCGAAGCTTCGCCAGGCGAACGCTAGCATTGGCGAAAGGTTTTAAAAGTACTTTATACTATACTATATCAACCTTATACTTTTATACAAAAAATAACTTTATACTTTAACAAAAGAGTTTAAAAATTACTATTTTACTATTCCTAACTGATAATAGATATTGAACTGTAAGCCTACAAGGGTATCATTAGACACGCCTCATTAAAGGGCGGTGGAGCACTACAGCTATGTTTCTATAGCCAAAAGTAAACATGGCAACATCAAAACACTTCTGGTAACATTTGTGAAAAGAACATTATCCTTACAACCAAAATAACAACCTAAATCTAAATAAGTCATCTCGGGGTGGGGGTGGGGGGGGTAGGAATACAGCTGATGTCTTGAGCTCTCGACTGGAACATCGAAGGTCTTGAAAAAAATACGTATATACGTTATTTCATAACAAATTATGATTTTAAGATATTTTAGAATTTCAATGTGATTCCTACATCATATCATACACAAATATGTTACTAATTTATAACTTGAAAGCAAGAAAATGGTATTCAAACAGCTCTCGCGCCTTTGCTTCACCAGGCTGTTCCAATATGATCTTTCGCCAGCCCTGGCGAACGTTCGCCAGGCATGATTTTAATAGTACGAAATTCCGGATCGCCCGGCGAAACCTTTCGCCAGCCCTGGCGAAAGGTTTTAAAAGTACGGGCCTTGGTCTCTTCGTTACTCTGAAGTTTACCTTTTACTACACTGCCTCGAACACAGAGCAAATTTTGTATTGAGCAGCTCAGTGGCTTGCTGCCCTGGATGGTGTTAATTATATTCCGGAAACTTCACTCACGGAATTTCATTTAGTATAGTATAACGTTTTTCTTGGTTTCTACTTTTATTGATTCATTTTCTTTCCCGTGAATGCAAGAGTTCCGTGGCTCTTGTGCCTTGGCCTTCAAGCGGCCGAGCATGCGTCCTCAATCCCACAAGGATCCGTGTCCTCCTGACCGTAGGGGCTACGTGCCGACTGATATATCTTATGCATTAAATGAGATCCCGTTTGTTTCAAGTATCCTTTTCGGATTTATCAATGTTGATTTTTAGATGGATAAGATCGGAGTTTGCAACCTTCCGGCCTTTCTGACCCGTGCCACGAATCGGACTGACGTTGTCTGCGTTGCACACTGAACTACGGTTCAAATAGCGGGGGATTACTCGTTTTGGACAAACACTTTACTCCGCATGCCATGTGACCTACTGCAATTTGTGCCGCTGGAGTAGTTTTGTTGATCGTGCTATTCATACATGCATTGCAATTCAGAGTAGATTTATTCATTTATCAATTTGTTCAGTTTTAAATGGTGTTTCCCCATCTTAAGTATTGCCTTAAGCTTTTATGCAACAGTGATTTACTCTCGGCTCTCGAATGATTTTACCTGCAACAGAAATATTCACCGAATCATTTTTAAAGGTCAAAAGGCCACAAAACGATTTCTTATATTTATGTGGTTATTATATAATTTTATAAAAATTGATATAGCGTAAATGCAGTTCTAATTTGAGAAGATACTTCTACAATCTGCTTCCTCTGAAGGCTGGCTGGAATCTTAAGTTTTGATAATGAGATTCGTGGTTCTATGGAATTTCATTGCACCGACGATAGCATTTATGTATATGTCACACGATATATATATATATATATATATATAATATATATATGAAAGATGGAAAAATGCATTACCCATTATCATGAACATTATCTCTTTCGACAATGCACTTGGACGGCGCTGTACACGTTGTACGAGTATATGTGTGTGTGTGTGTGTGTGTGTGTGTGTGTGTGTGTGTGTGTGTGTGCCCACACGTGCCCATATATATATCATATATACATATATATATATACATATATATATATAATATAATATATATATATATATATATATATGCATACATATATATATACATATATATATATATATATATATATATATATATATATATATATATATATATATATATATATATATATATACAAATATATAAATCTATCTATCTATCCAAGGCAGCAGTGGGCGTTTTTATTCTTTCCAGCTACTGCCTTTCTGAATAAGATGAAACAGCCTATGTTCTTAGAGTAAAAAAAGCGATCGGGAGTGCAAAGGCCATTCTGCATTATGATATTCTCGTAATCTCAGCATGATTTAACTTATTAATCAGGACTAATCTATATTAGATTTCCATTGACTTCGACTGCATTAATTTGAAATCAATAATTAAACTTTTTATTGGTGACAATTATTTAGTTTCGTCCATAATTTCCAATGATTTATAGATTAGAGATTTCCATATAATTTTTAAAAAGCTTACACAATTTCCTTCCTTTTCATGATTCTGTGATCTTCCTTTTTATGGTTTTGTGATCCCTTCAACTTAAAGTTCAATGGAATTCTTATTAATCGGCGTCCGGTTCCTTAATGTACTTTGTAAGCCACGATTTCCTACTGTAGAAATCCTGTCACTTGTCATGAAGCTCCATTCTTGGCTTATTTATCTGACTTTGCCAATGTGCAGACCATTCATTCCTTGCACCTGGATAATAATTATTATACCTGTCACTGAACTATGCGATGAGATAACTCAGCCCTGAGGAGCAACTACTCCATGTAAAGAATTCACGGTGTACTTTCCGCGCTGTCAGCAGTTTCATCCGACTAACTGACACGCTGACAATATTCGGGCTTCGTGAAGTACGGTTTCATTTTGCAGTTATTTTATGGCTAGTTGATTTTTGAACTGCTCGAATTCATCTATGTCCCGTCTGCATAAAAGAACTGAAAGACTGATTTCCAGATGAATCTTTTTTGGATACATATGCTACAGCTGCATATCAGTTGAGAACATATAAACAACGCATATAATCGAAAAAGTCATTTTTATATAATTAAACACGAAAGAAAATAAATGAATACATGAATGCAGTAAGTAGCTCAAACGGTAATTACAACACACAAACACACACACACACATACACACACACACACACACACACACACACACACACACACACACCAACAACACAGCAGGACATCCAGGGGGATACCCACAGATGGTCCAGTCGAGGGACGGTATGAAACAGCTGCTCACTGAGGCTCTGGAGTGCGTTGTGTCTCAAGTCTCTGTGAGGAAGAAAAAAAATTATGCTGACGATTAAATGAAAACAAATTTAAAATGAATTAAACTTTCCGTGACAGGTCCGGAAAGTTTTTCTGGAGAAAACAAAAGTTATGAATGCTAAATACAGAATTTAAGACGGTGTCCAAAACGGCTGTCTAAAAAGTAGGTTTATATAATAATGTATTGCATGATAAATCCAGATGCTAGCTTACGGTCTGAACATAATCATGCATACTGTTTAAGGCAACTTATACACATATGTAGGCCTACTGTCTCAAAAAGGGCATAAAAGATTTCATATGGACCTTTGAGCGCCTTATGAGATGCATCGTCACATCAAATATGGCAGTAAGTCAATTGAAGTCACATTTGACTCAAACCCATGGCAAATACGTGCATGTGTGCGTGCGTGTGTGTGTGTAAATGTGTGTGTGTGTGTATGTGTGTCTGTGTGCGTGCGTGTGCGAGAATTCTGCGTTACAACAAAAAGCCATGTACTAATGTCAACAAGTAAAAGAGACCAGAAGGCTCTCATTGCTTCACGTTCTGTATCTCCTTTTTTTCTTGCAAGAACGCCCTGAGGTGAAAACCGATGTGAAGACGCAACGTAGGCCTGAACTTTCACACCATATTTGAAAAAGTACATTAAATGTTTATAAGTACAAAGCCTAAACCAGTCGGGAACAAGAGAAATGCGTAATGCAAATACACCCCAGAAAAAAAATCCGCTGGAAGGAGCAGGATGCACCGGCGGGAAAGGAAAGAACTGTTTGAGGGCCATCCTGCGGGGGTACTTTAGGCCCTGTTCAGACGAGCGATTTTAGTGGCCTGACTGCTAGAAGCGCGACTAGTGAGTAAATGTTCACACAGCATTTAAAGTGGCCCTACTCGGTTCTCCCCCACTCTTGGCTGGGGGAACCGTTAGCTACTTTCGCCTGTCTGTCTGCCTCCGCTCCACGCTCTCTCACTGGTCGAATCCTACCCACTCTAGCCAATGAGGCGCGCCATCACCATGAAAACGCAGTGACTGTCGCCGTGTGTGCGCGGCCGCATAGCAATACATGTACCTCGAGTCGCTGAGCAGTTGGGCGACTCTGAGGGAGAACTCGAGTCGCGCCACAGGCCAGCCACAAGCCACTATGTGTGTGAAGGAGACCCTGTTCAGACGAGCAACTGGTGGCGCGACTGCTAGGTGTCAATGGAAGTGAATAGAAGCGCACGCACACACACATGTAGTGGCTTGTAGCTGGCCTGTGGCGCGACTCGAGATTTTCCTTACAGTTGCCCGACTGCTCAGGGACTCGAGGCATATGTGTTGCTATGCGGCCGCGACTGAAGAGATGAAAAAAAAAAAAGAAAAAAAATAGTGATCGAGAGACGAGTCGGGCTGTAGCAGATCTGACGGATGCGCCGAGGACATTATTTCACCAAAATATTATCTGAAATAATAACTTTCCTTTAAACTAATGAAGTAAATCTCCATTTAAGATTTCTATATATATATAGAGAGAGATAGATTAGTCCACCACTCATTTAGCTTACACGTAACTAGCGAACGAGGCCTAGCGAGGTCAACAATAACATCAAACAAATAGCGTAGTCGCTTCGGAGCGTCTTGCGTCCCGCCAAGAAGGTGACTCAAGGAGCGTAGCCAGACTCTTAGGCCCGTACTTTTAAAACCTTTCGCCAGTACTGGCGAAAGGCTTCGCCGGGCGATCGGGAATTTCGTACTATTAAAATCATGCCTGGCGAACGTTCGCCAGGGCTGGCAAAAGATCGTATTGGAACAGCCTGGCGAAGCAAAGTCGCGAGAGCTGTTTGAATAACATTTTCTTGCTTTTAAATTATAAATTAGTAACATATTTGTGTATGATATGATATAGGAATCATATTGAAATTCTAAAATATCTTAAAATCATATTTATTATGAAATAACATATATACGTAGTTTTTTTTTTCAAGACCTTCGATGTTCCAGTCGAGAGCTCAAGACATCAGCTGTATTCCTACCCCCCTACCCCTACCACCCACCCCCGAGATGACATTTAGATTTAGGTTGTTGTTATTTTGGTTGTAGGGATAATGTTCTTTTCACAAATGTTACCAAAAGTGTTATGATGTTGGCATGTTTACTTTTGGCTATAGAAACATAGCTGTAGTGCTCCACCGCCCTATAATGAGGCGTGTCTAATGATACCCTTGTAGGCCTACAGTTCAATTTCTTATATCAGTTAGGAATAGTAAAATAGTATTTTTAAAACACTTTTGTTAAAGGATAAAGTTATTTTTTGTATAATAGTATAAAGTTCATACAGTATAGTATAAAGTACTTTTAAAACCTTTCGCCAGTGCTGGCTTTCGCCTGGCGAACATCTGAGTGAGGGAGGCCTTACTTTTAAACCCAAGGCAGGTGTTCGCCAGGCCTGGCGAACGAAAGGGATTGCCAGGCGCTAACATCTTGAATTCTTGCTAAATCTAGCGCTTCGGCGAATGAAAAAAAAAAAAAAACGCGAGAAACACAAATTTGTTACATCTGCAGTGTGTTATAAAAACATATAAGTAAATATATATTGTTGGCACATAGCAGGGATGTTTTTTTTCATCATATTACCTTACCTTACCTTACTTATATCATATCATTTATTACCTTTCCTAACATAATCCAAGCTTAATTATTAACCTCGGGAGAAGACGATAATGTTATATCTGTAATAGCCTCACTTTATACAAAGGAGTTAATAATTAATAATTTTACTATACCTAACCGATATAAAATAGTTAACTGTTGGGATACAAAGGTTAGGTTAGGTTAGACACGCCTCATTATAGGGCGGTGGTGCACTACAGCTATATTTCTATAGCCCGTAGTAAACATGCCATCATCAAAACACTTTTGGTAACATTTGTGAAAGGAAAGTGATCCTTACAACCAAAATAACAATCTAAATCTAAATAAGTCATCTCGGGGTAGGGGGGGGGGTAGGGGGGTAGGAATACAGCTGATGTCTTGAGCTCTCGACTGGAACATCGAAGGTCTTGAAAAACTACGTATATACGCTATTTCATAATAATTTATGATTTAAAGATATTTTACAACTACAATGGGATTCCTGCATCATATCATACATAAATATTTTACTAATTTATAATTTGAAATCAAGAAAATGGTATTTAAACACGGGAAAGGGAGGGCTCTCGCGACTTTGCTTCGCCAGGCTGTTCCAATACGATCGTTCGCCAGCCCTGGCGAAAGTTCGTCTGGCGAACTTTTAATAGTACGAAATTCCCGATCGCCCGGCGAAACCTTTCGCCAGAACTAGCAAAAGGTTTTAAAAGTACGGGCCATAAAGTTAACCTTGTTATAGTATAAAGTGTAGTATAGCATAAAGTATAAAGTTAATTTTGTTATAGTGTAAAGTTATTTTCAATTTCTTTGTTATAGTATAAAGTGAGACTATTGCGGAAACAACATTTTCGTCTTCTCACGAGGTTAACATGTAAGTTTAGGTTATGTTATGTGCACTGTAGATGTAAACAAATTTGCGCTAGATTTAGCAGGAATGCAAGATGTTAGCGCCTGGCGATCCCTTCGCCCGCCCTGGCGAACGTTGGGTTTAAAAGTAAGGCCTCCCTCACTCAGAGGTTCGCCTGGCGTAGCTTCGCCTGGCGAACGCCAGCACTAGCGAAGGTTTTAAAAGTACGGGCCTTAGGCAGAGAAGGCTGGGACCAGCCTTGGGGCAGCCGTGTTTGGGTGGTGGATTCTCTCAGAAACGGAGTTAAGTATTGGTTTGTATTTTTCGGATAGGATTTTTATCCATGTGAATGTGATATTAAATGTGTTCTTGTCAGTTCGGAAGTGTTTAATATGATACACAAATACGTACATTTTACATGTCTCAAGACAGTGGAAAATCAGTGCCTTCAGTTAAGCCTGATACCACATTCCATAACTAAAGGAATAATTGATTCATACAGAAAGATAAATAAAGGATGAGACTAAGATGTTGAGGATGAGAGAAAAGCAGAAATAAAAGCCTTAAATAAAAGTTTTGAATAACAGCTTAACAGGGGACACTAAACTAAACTAATAAGTTACTAAAATATCTACATGGATTTCACTACAGGGCTTCTGTAAGCGCCATGTGTGAACATTCACTCAGTAGTCGCGCTTCTAGCAGTTGGGCCACTAAAATTGCTCGTCCAAACAGGGCCTTAAGAGGATCGTCTCCTTTTTTTCGATTTTTCAATAGGCCTACATTGACCATTTTATAAAATTTCTAAAAAATCCAAGACAAATCATACAGCTATTCTGATTTCATGTCTGAATAGAATAATCCTTCTACTATAATATGCAGAAGCCATTTTTGAGAAGTCGACCTTACTTTTTTTGTGAATATTTTCCGGTGACCGTTAAAACACCCTAATAGGTTTTGTAAATATGACACTTATATAAGAAGCACATGAAACTACAGCAATTGCTACAAAATGGTTTATAATACGTTAAAATCTGACTGAAAATTCGTGTGCCACGCGTAAAAATGGACCTAATAACCGCGATCTTTTTCCTTTTCGTTATGTCTTGTACGAAATACTCGTATATGATATAATTATCTGTTATTTAGCTGTTATTGTTGCTCTAATGGGGTTTTACAACATATAATAATGGTCGAAAAAATAACAGTTTTCCAGTCGGACGGGTATCATATGTGTCCTTTTCTCAGCGCGGCCGGCCGCCGTGGACCACACGTCTTTGCATCTGCGGATCACTGGTGCTTAACTCTACGGGGCCACATTGCCAATTTTCACACTCAGACTCCCATGCAGTACACTCCGTGACCTCACACGAAGAGGTCGTGTGGTGCCCTGCTCCGGTGCCCTCGCCCCTTACACATGGATCTCTGGTGTCATGTACGAGGAAATTGTTCATGAATCTTTAGGTGCGCATATACCTCGCAATTGAAACGTCATGAGAGTAGTGATGTGAACATGGCTATGTTTTAAA